TATGAATATGTATATGTATATGTATCTGTATCTGTATCTGTATGTATATATGTGTATATATGTATACGTATACATATATATACAGATATATACACACACACACACGCGCATGCGTGTTTCTCACCTGCCCAAGCAGCCTAGGTATGCCGATATCTTCAAATAAACCAACGAGTTACTCAACTGGCTAATCAATCAGCTAATCTAAGAGACTACATACACACATAACTAACAGCATAGCACTTCTTAACACCCTGTTGCCTGGAAGGCGATGCCCACGATGAGCTTGAAGGCTTCATCTGAAGCGAAGAGGTATTCTTGGAGGGGTTGAGTTGCAACAAGACTACGACCATGACTTTGAAGTTTTGGTTGATGGTTGAACATACGCATGTCAGGATTGCGGTTAGTTTTTTTTCATAGCCTATGGAATATCACCACGCACTATGAAGTGCGAAAACAATCGGAGGCAGGGAGAAAGGGGAGGGAGGGAGGCCTCATTTCGGAAAGGACCCCAACTGTAGCCCGACAGTCCAAGTCCCTAAGAAGCAAACCGCTGCTTGCAACGAAGCCACTCTTAAAATGGTCCGCTCCCCAACCATTCTTCTGCGATTTGGCAGCAGCGAGGCAAACGGCAAGGCATCGCTCACGGAATCTTTTATCCCTTGGCTCACTGATGTCATCGTGCAAGTAAGTCTTCCCTGTTCTGGTGGTCAAGGTTCACCCGGTTGTCATGACATGTTGTTCCTATCAGTAACGTTCACTGCAAGTGAAATCTGTAAGTTACCGCATCCCATCGAAAGATGCAGCTGAAGTGCCCGTGGGGGCTGATCATGATGACACCATGCTCTTCGCAGTAGCAGCCCTCTCCGGCACCGTCCACAAGATCTCCGAGAATTCTCCACTCGTTGGCTTTGCGCTCCAGGTAGGTTTTCATGTCCTGTTGGCCGAACATGTTGTAAAGTCGCTGCTTGGCGTTCCTGCAACGTCAGGCAGCAAAACCCTAAACCCAAAGACCCTAAACCAAAACCCTAAACCCTAAACCCCAAGCCCTACACCTCAAACCGTAAACCCTAAGCCCCAAATCCTACACCTCAAACCCTTAATCCTAAACCCCACAGCCTAAACATGCCTAAACCGTGCAAATTTTGCCTGAGACATTCCAAACAACCCCTTCTCTCGCCGAGCCGAGCTTCGACAAAAGGTTTCCGAACTCGGCATGCTCCTTCATTCTGTCCGGCTTGACGTAAAGCCTGAGCTGCCAATAATATACTATCATAGAAGCTGGTTGAATTAAGGTTCTTGCTTGTATAACATAAATGCAACAGAACTAGAATAGAATAAGACTAGAATAACATAGATAGAGATTTGGGAATAGAACAGAAGAGAATTAGAATAGACTTAGAATAGACTTAAATAGAATCAATACGGGATAGAGTACAATAGAAGAGAATTAGAACAGAATGAGGCATGAGTTAGAATAGAACTAGAACAGAATGATAATAGAATAGAAGACTAAGAATAGAATTAGAACAGAATTATAATAGAATTAGAAAAGAATTTAAATAGAATAGTAGATTAGAGTTAGCATAGAATTGAATAGACTATCATGTAACACAATATCATACGATATAGTAAAATAGATAATGCAAGCATACACTCTACAATATATCACATACTGTATATTCCATATAATCTATAATGAAAGAATATAGAATACAGAACATATAAGATATACTCTCTGGTTTATAGTAAATCTTATAATACAGAAAGGGCATGCTGAAGGCCTGCATTTGCGTGTACAACACGAACACTGCTTTAAGACATAGACACGACACACTACGTGAATTTAGGGTGGTTTACTTGAAATATAGTAGAAAAACACTATGTGTAATCGACAAACACAGCCCCCTCGCAGCGGCCCCCCAGTCCAGAAAAAAAAATGTATGTAATAACTAAACCGCCGAATACAGTATGTATAATAACATAACAGTACAACAGTATACTGTATACTAGATAGCAATATGTGTATAGATGTTCTATATATATATATGTATCATGTAACCAATGAGTTATATCATATAAGACATAACATAATATAAAGTACAAGTATATAGCATAAAATACTGGCATAGCAATATAACACAACATCATAGAAAATACAATAGTGTGATATATATATAATGTGATGTGATAGTATGAACAGTATAACAGATGATACTTCAAATTTTGTTCCCGAATCACTGCAGACATCTGGCTTCGACAAGGGGTTCAAACAGAAGACACGATACACAGGATAGAGGCAAAGCCAACGAAAAGTGTACAGTATGAGTCAGTATGAGGGTTTTACATTCCGCTACCTTCCACGTCGTAAAACTACGTCTACATTAGGCGGATGTATGATTTCCCTCGAAGATTCGAAGGAGTGCACTGCCGCATGTCTTCCAAGCATGCAGTGCTGCACCCACTCACCATGACCTAGAAGCTTAGATGCTGCATGAAACCCTTGGCCCCCCCGCCCCCCAGCCCACACTGAAAGCCAGCTCACAGCTCACGGAATCTACGCTCTGCGCAGAGGGTCCCAAAGCCGCTCAGAGGGTCCCAGGGCCACGATCCGAAACCGCGAACCCGAAGAGACTGAATAACACTAGAACCACAGAAATCCAAAACACCACAATCTCATAACTCACTATTTCTAAGACGGCTAAAGCACGTGACGCGGCCCGCTAACACTGCAGTGCCAACCAAGGAGCACCGCTTCACCCGTACGCGTCTTCAGCCGCCTGAAGGCTTCGTTGATGATGTCCACCTTTTTAGGGTTTAGGGTTTAGGAATTTAGGGCTTAGGGTTTAGGGTTTAGGAGTTTGGGGTTTAGGAATTTGAGAGTTTAGGTTGGGGCTCAGGGTTTCAAAGCCCGCTGGGTCCGGGATGCCGAAGAAGGCCTGGCTCCACTTCCGGTGCAACCGAGGGGCAGCATCCGAGGAGAGTTTTACCACTTCCCCCTCGTCCCAGTCCTCCCAAATTTTTCCCTGCTGCGGCTGCCGGCCAGGCCTAGCATGGCAGCTACACACACACACA